CTAAAAAAGCTAAGCACCAAAAATAAATAAATAACCCAATCAAATCTTATGTTTTTTGGTATCTAAAATTACAAATAGTCATTTTTAAAGTCTTCTACTTAGATTTATAATTTATAAATCTGAGATTTCTTTTTACTATTTGTAGCTTCCATTTTCCCAAAATCATCAACTTAATTTAAGCATCTATTACTGAAAAATATATTTAAATAACTAACTGCTATTTATTGGTACTTTCTATATGCCAGGACATATTATCTAATTAGATTATCATGTTAACACTATGAGATAAGGATTTGTTCTTGCCATTTTAAGGATTAAGAAACTATGGTTTGAGGGTTAGGGGGATAACTCAGTGGTAGAACAATTGCCTAGTATGTTCAATCCCTGCACCACAATAAATAAATAAGTTTTAATTACTGTGTTTTAAAAGGTTAGATTAAAATGTTGCTTTTTATCTATATTCTCTCCAATATTTATTATTTGTGCTCTTTTGGGGGGGGGCTGCGGGGTACTGGGGTTTGAACTCAGGGGTACTCAACCACTGAGCCACACCCCCAGCCCTATTTTGTATTTTATTTAGAGTTAGGGTCTCACTGTGTTGCTTAGCACCTTGCTTTTACTAAGGCTAGCTTTGAACTTATGATTCTCCTGCCTCAGCCTTCTGAAGGACTAGGATTACAGCTACGTGCCACTGCACCCAGCAGTTATATGTATTCTTAATGACTGTCATTCTGACTGGTGTGAGATGAAATATCCATGTAGTTTTGATTTTAATTTCCCTAATTGCTAATGATGTTGAACATATTTCATGTATTGCTGTTCATTTTTTTATTTCTTCTTTTGAGAAGTGTCTGGTTTTAGTCCATTTGCCCATTAATTAATTGGGTTATTTGGTTTTGGGGTGTAAAGTTTTTTGAGCTCTTTATATATTCTATATATTAATCCTCTGTCAGAAAAGTAGCTAGCAAAGATTTTCTCCTGGGTGTTCTCTTTTCACATTCTTTATTGTTTCCTTTGCTATATAGAAGCTTTCTAATTTGATGCTGTCCCATTTATTAACTCTTGGTATTATTTCCTGAGCTTTAGGGGTCCTATTAAGAAAGTCATTGACTGTGCCAAAAGTTGGAGGATTGACCTTAGTTTCTAGAAGTTCCATATTTTCTAATCTAATTCCAAAGTCTTTGATCCATTTTGAGTTGATTTTTGTGCAGGATGAGAGATAAGGGTCTAGTTTCATTATTTTACATATGGATAGCCAGTTTTCCCAGCACCATTTTATTTAAAAGGCTGTCTTTTTTTCCAATGTGTGTTTTTGACACCTTTGTCAAGGATCAGATAACTATCTATCTATATGGGTTTTTCTATGGATCTTCTGTTGTGTATATTTGGTCTGTGTGTCTGCTTTTATGCCATTACCATAGAGTTTTTGTTACTATAACTCTGTAGTATAATTTGAAGTCAAGTATTATGACACCTCCAGCATTGATTTTTTTTTTTTTTTTTTTTGGCTTAAAATCGCTTTAGCTATTCTGGGTATTTTATTCCTCCAAATGAATTTTAGGACTGTTTTTTCAAGTTCTGTAAAGAATGTCATTGGTATTTTGATGGTGTCAAAATACCAATGCATTGAATCTGTATATTGCTTTTGGTATGTATGATCATTTTAATTCTGTGAATTAGTACAAACACCATAGAAATCGCCCAGCAATGCTACTTCTCCATATTTATCATGAAGAATTAAAGATATTTTACTACAGTGATACATGCAAATCCATGTTTACAGCAGTATAATTCACAATAGCCAAACTATGAAACCAGCCTAGGTGTTCATCAATGGATGAATGGATAAATAAAAATGTGGTATATATACACAATGGAGTTTTATTCAGCCATAATGAAAAATAAAATGATGGCATTTGTGGGAAAATGGATGGAACTAGAGATCAACATGGCAAATTTTTCTCATGTGTGGAAGCTAGAGAGGATAAAGGAAAAGAAAGTTGGGGGTGGATCTAAAAGTCAAAGGGAAATCAGTAAAGGGACCAAGTGGTGGGAGATGAAGAGGGAGGGGAGAAATGCTAGGGAGTGTTATTAGCCAAATTATATTGTTAAATTGTGTGCATGTATATATATATATATGTAACAATAAATCCCACCAATATATGCAACTATAATGCTCCAATAAAAAATGTGGGGAAAAAAAAGTTTAGCTAACTTGCCTAATATCACAAAGCTCATAATCGTTATACAGCTAAGATTCAAAACAATTATAATAAATACATTTTTAAAAGAACAATTCTTATTCAATAGGCAGTCTTTATCTTTTCTTTTAAACTGCATTTAGCTCATAGTAATATTAATATTTCTTCAACATTAACAAACAGAAAATTCCATTTATTGAATTTACTGCTATAAATTTACTGATGAACTGAACACACTTCACCAGCTCTATGTTGACAAGTGAACAGAAACAGCAGACTCCCCAGTGAGGCCACAGATTGATTTTTACACAGAAAACAGTGACTCTTCTAATATTTCACAGAAATCTGAATGAACCCACTATTACACTGAAGAGTGCACAGAAGGCATATACTCACCTAAGCCATCTTGAAATACTGTTTGAATGGAAATTTTAAGGTTGAAGTCAAGATGATCTTGACATAAACCCTGAACTCTAGTTAGCAAAGATGTTTCCCTTGTTAGAGTGGGTTAATAATACTAAAACTGCTGCACGATTATCCTGATAATAGAGTAAGTAAATGAATGGCAGATGGTAGGATCCCCATTTTCATTGTTAGTGAGGCAGGTTACAAATAAGTAAGGGGGAAAGATAAAATAAAACCTGGTGGATTAGATTCAGAGATATCAATATAAATTTATATTTAGCCTAATATAGATATCTAGATAGAATTCTAAATGTGTATCTATATATGGGTTAGTATACAAGCACATGTCCTCTCGCTCTCTTCACTGGGAGGGGCTAGAAGCAGTGACACCCAGCTATTAATGAGTACACCCAGAATCCCCATCTTCATTTCTAAGATCATTTTCCAAGAAAAGCACCATAGCTCCTTGAAGAAATGATTGATTTGGAGGCAGAGGCAGGGGAAAGATGAACCAAGAGCATTTTGTCGTGATGGAAAGTAAGGAAGTGCTCAGAACATAAACGGAAAAGGGATTTACATAGGGATACAGCAGCCAACCTGAAAGAGCCCCCAATGATGGAAGCTGGAAACTTTTGAGCGACAAAGCAAATAATATGGGATTAGTAGCCCAAAGTATTTAATAAATATCCATGGGTCTATCTGTACTGATATAAATAAATGATTGAACAAAAAAATAGGGGACCATAAACAAATCTCCTGTACAGAAAGATGCCAAATATCTACTCCCCCAAGAAGGTATTAGAGTTTCACTACCCATTCCTTGAGTTTGGCCTGCACCTGTGTCTTGCTTATAATGGGGAAGCGTGAGGTATAAATGACGATGCATAGACCTGGCAAACACCTGGCAAACCAGTGACCAGGGTTAACACCATCAGTAGAAAACCATGTTGATGGTTTTCACCCTGTATATGATGTGCTGAAAATGCAACTCTGCTGCCTCCTTCCCCCAAACCCATAACCCCAGTTTAGCCATGAAAAAACCATCAGACAAATCCAACTGAGGGACATTCTGCAAAATACTGGTCCTCAATTAGTACTCCTTAGAACTGCCAAGGAAAGTCTTAGAAATTGTCACAGACCAGAGAAGACTCAGAAGACATGACAGGTAAATGACATCCAGAGTTATCCTTTTTATAACCAATCATTATGAAGAAAGACAAAATCTTTTCTTTCACCACTAATAGTCTGATAAACTCTGATCTATAAAGCATAAGCTTCAGGCCAACTTAGTCTTTTTCTCCCAGTTTGAAGTTTCCTATTGTATTGAGGTGATTTTAAACTCTTTGCTACACTCAAAGTATTTTTCTCTTGAGATCCTGGAAGTCACAACATTCTGTTCTTTGTTCTTTTATCCACCCCCATCATATTTTGCTGCAAACTTTGTCATTGTCAAGGCGCAGTTGACTGGCTCTGTAAGCGATTTGCTGTTTCTGTCTGTTCCTCATAATCTGGTGTTATTTAGGTTTATTAAAGGGAACAATCTGTCACTAAGACCGAGGTACAACTGCATCATTACCAAGCCATCCAAAATTCAACATTGATGATGTATGGAAGCGTATACACGACAGGCATCACAGTTACCTATTTAATAAGGATATCACATTTGATTACAAATTGAACTACACAATAACCTCCATGCTGTTCCCTAGTTACAGTTTCAGAAAGTGGCTTTCTGTTCAATAAAGTCTCATAGCATCAATTATGTCTTCCATAAATATGCAAAAAAGAGCACCCATTTCTAGTTAATACTCAAGCTTAATAGTTTTGCAAGTCATCTGAATAATGAATGTAAAACAATGACAAACATGCTTTTCATAACTAATCATTATGAAACTAAAATTTAATATCATAAGTTTATTAGATGGCTAGGTTTCTTATTTAGGTGCAAAAACGGGGGCAAGGATAAAGCTGGTAAATAAGAAAGTGATAGCCTAGATGGTCTTCTAAGTAGAATTTTGATGTTTAATTAATATCTCTGCTTAAATAAGTAAGGATACATTTGCAAGCTGCGATTGTTTTTATTTGCTAGTGAAATCAACAATTTTTTGTTCTCTTTCTCTCTCTCAACTGTTCCTGACATCTGCTTTCTTCTTTACCATTTTTCTTTTCTTTCCTTTCTCTTTCTCCCCCTCCTTTTCTTCCTCCTTCCTCCTCCTCCTCCTCCTCCCTCCCTCATCCTCCTCCTTCTCCTCTTCTTCTTCTTTTAAATTAAAATGTTCCTGGCATATGTTTTCTTCTGTGGTTTAAAGTGGACGGAGTGAGGGTAGAATTCTTCCAGCAATATTTTAACCATGAAATGTCTTCTCTAAACAGTATTCCCTTTATTGTTCCCAGACAATCGTTAGAGGAAACAAACCCTGCAAGGAAAGCTCCATCAACGGCCTGCTGGAGGATTTCGACCACATCTCTGTGACTCGCTCCAACTCCCTGAGGAAAGAAAGCCCACCCACCCCGGACCAAGGAGCCGCCAGCCACGGTCAAGGCCACTCGGAAGAAAATGGCTTCATCACCTTCTCACAGTATTCCAGCGAGTCCGACACCACTGCAGACTACGCCACGGAGAAGTACAGGGAAAAGAGTCTCTACGGAGACGAGGTGGACCCCTACTCTAAAGGCAGCCACCACGCGGTCAAGCAAAACGGGCACGTAATGAAGATGAAACATGGGGAGGCCTACTATTCCGAGGTGAAGCCTTTGAAAAGTGACGTTGCCAGATTTCCCGCCGATTATCACGCACACTTGGACTCACTGAGCAAACCAAGTGACTATAGTGACTTCAAGTGGGACTACCAGCGGGCCTCCAGTAGCTCCCCGCTGGATTACCCATTCCAGTTCACGCCTTCCAGAACTGCAGGGACCAGCGGGTGCTCCAAGGAGAGTCTGGTGTACAGCGAAAGTGACTGGGGACCCAGCCTGGACGACTATGAGAGGAGGCCAAAGTCCTCGTACCTGAATCAGAGGAGCCCTCAGCCGGCCCTGCGGCAGAGGTCCAGGTCAGGCTCAGGGTTGCAGGAACCCATGATGCCATTCGGAGCAAGTGCATTTAAAACCCATCCCCAGGGACACTCCTACAGCTCCTACACCTACCCTCGCTTGTCGGAGCCCACAATGTGCATTCCAAAGGTAAAGTGTGCTGCCTCTTTTCTCTCAGTGTCCACAAAGAGGGTACTAGAACTGGCTGCCTATATAGTCAGATTCAAAAGAGTTTGCTTGTCTGTTCCATAAAAATCCACATCCAAATCCCACCTTATTTCCACCCAAGTGCAGAGGCTTTCAGACAAGGTCCTTCTTTCATTAAATTCAAAATCTGTCATTTCAGATCTTCCTATGAGGTTTCAGATTAAAAGGCAAAGACAATCTTATCTAGTTGAAAGATTTTCTGATATCTTGATGTTAAATACTTTGTGATCATGTTTTATTAAGTTCTCCATTAAGGAGTTAACAATTTGAGGCCACCAGAGGGATTAATATAGTGGTTACCACATTCTCCCAAAGTCTTCATGTTCCTGGCCAATAAGAAGCAAAAATCAGGAAAATGTGGTGAGTTTTTATAAAGCTAATTTTTTCCAACTTGGGGTACAGATCTATATTTTAAGAGTATGTCCTTAACACAATCTTAGTGCTGATGTAACACTTTTTCCATGAAATTTGAGGGGTAATAGAATAGTAGTTAATTGATGGGCTATTTTGTTATACTTTTTTAAAAATTTTTGTTTGTAATTCTTCGCTTGTCTTTAAAAAATGTTTTAAATGTTGACTAGTGGAAATTTGCTTTGAAATTAGACTGGTCCATGATTTACCAAAGTTGGAGAAACACTGTTGGGGAAGTTACTAAATCTTTATTCACAGCATGGACTTTGCCATGAGGATATAAGCCTTTTGGAAATACCTTAGAGAGTTTGCAAGGAGCTGATTTTCCTATGGGAACTTAGAAATGTCTTTCTGTCTCATTTGTACAACAAAAATTAAAATGCAGCGTTTGGTGGTAGATTGTGAATTACACAGGTCTCAAGCCAGTTGAGATGGACATGACTTCTAGAATGGACAGCATCCACATCTGTACCAAAGGTATTCTGCTCAACAGTTTGATGGATAGCATAATAAACTCTGGAAGGAAAGTGGGTTAGTTAGATTTTCAGCTCTGTGATAAAAACACCTGACAAGAATGACTTAGAGGAGGAAAAATTTATTTGAGCGCACAGTTTCAGAGATCTTAGTTCATGGTTGTCGAACTCCATTGTTCAGAGCCTTTGGTGATACAGAGTATCATGGCAGAAGGTCATGACCGAGGAAAACTGCTCATGTCTGATAGCCAGGAGAGAGAGAGAGAGAGAGAGAGAGAGAGAGAAAGCCAGAGGGATAAGATATAATACCCAAGGCTATGTCCCCATGTCCCCAGTGACTCACCTCCTCTAGCTGGTCCCTGCCTGCCTACAGTTACCACCCAGTACAGTAATGCTTCAAATTATTAACTGATCAAGTGCATTAAGTCTCTGGTTAGGTTTAGATTCTAGTAATATAATCATTTTACCTCCTGCATTAGCACAGGAGTGTTGGGGGTGGGGGGGACACCACATATCCAAACCATAACAGCAAACTTGCCTACATGTGTCTGCTTTGTTGACTACAGATAGCTAATATTTTTCTTTTGCTTATTATTTCTCATAAACCTTCTCCAAGATGTTGAAGAGAAGCCATTTAGGGACATTCTGGAAGTGACTTAAGCTATATTTTAGAAAAAAGAAAGAAAAGAAAAGCTACTATTTTATTTCCCAAGATATAAAATTAAAAATAAATTATGAGAAAGGAAGAACTCAAATATACGCCTCCAGCTAAAATGCAAAGAACCACAGTGTTTTTCTCCTCATCATGTTAATGTATTTGAATGCCCATGGTCAAGGTATCATAAATGCCTTCACTTCCCATCAATCTTGGGAGGTAGATTACTGGGAAAAGGTCTAATTAAACAACTCTCATGTGGAGTCCTATGCATGTATCATGATACATGAGGTAGTTTACTCTGTTTTCCTATTCATATCACTCTATGAGTCCCCATGTCAGAGGAAACAGTTCTAGAATTAAATAAGCAAATTAAGCATGTTCAGTAGCTGACTTGAGTTATATCTGCAGGCATTGAATGTTGATGGTTATTTTATCTAGGAGTAAAGAATAGAATTTTGCGTGTATGTAGTATGGTTGAACACACGTTAGAGAGCTCTTATTGGTCATAGTCATAGAAAAAATGTTGCTCAGAGTTGGCAGCTTTTCAACCCTGGAGCCATATTTAGTCCAAATGACATGTTTGGCTCACCAAATATTCATTTCCAACATGAGAATTGGAAATTCAAGATATTTTACTTAGAAGTCTCAATTTTTGGAGCTTCAAACTTCTGTTGGAAAAAAAATAGTGGGTGGGGAGTGGTCTGGCGTCCCTGTGCCCACATTTTCACACAGAATTAGAGTAGAATCATCTGGGCATAAAGTTCACCCCCTTAGAGGGGACATAGGATCCCCAGTTTAGAAAATGCTCTGCCCAGCCTATTTTATTCATTTTTCCCATTAGTCTAATCCCTCGAGCTTTTTAGAATTTAGCTCAATACCAGCAATCCCTGCCCACTTGTTTGCCAGAAGAGGAAACTGAGGTTCAAAGAGTCACACAACATGCTTAATTTCATAATTAGCTGTCTGCTAAACAAAGGCAAGAATTCAAGTCTGGTGTTTCTTCCAAACTAGCACCTACTCGCTAAATGGGCATAGGTTATTTTGGGGATTTAACTGAATTTGCCAGTAAAATCCATTTAAGTACAAAGTAGCCTTCCTCTTTGGCTAAGAAGAAGAAGAGGAAGGAAGGAGAGAAAGAAGGAGTAATCTTCATCATTCCTTGAAGACTCCCTCTTCCTGCAGATTTCCAAATATAAGTCAAAGCAGACCTGCCCTGAAATCTGGCCTGCCAACAACCCCAGAAATAATGCATAAACTATTGTGTCTCAGGAAAATTATATCAGCATATTCACCCATGGGAATATCAACCAAGGGCTTCTCAGCCCTTACAATCAGAGCTTCTAAGGAGCAGTCCACTCCTCTGTATTTCTATAGAAAACCTGTGAGAAATTCATGACCAGGTTTTATGGGAGAGTGAGGGCAGGAAGCATGTTGATAATTAAAACATTTGCTTGATTAAAAATACAACATCTCTCTAAAAAGACTTAAGTGCCTATGTCTTTAGAACTGTACTCTTAGAAATCTACCAATTGCATTTGAATTTCCAGCTGAGGGAAGAAATAGCAATCACGACTCATATCTTTTGGCTTTGCCCCATAGCAATTTCTAGAGGAGGGCGAATAATGTTTACACCTCCAATAGTGAGAGAAAACATAAAACTCATGGAGATTTCCAGATGGAGCAAAAATGAGGAGGGTGTGTGTGTGTGTGTGTGTGTGTGTGTGTGTGTATGTGTGTGTGTGTGTGTTTGTGTGTTTGACACTAGTTTTGTATTTTTGCTTAAAGAAAATAAAAAATAGTAATGTTAACTCATGTAAAAACTCCTCCAATGTTGTCTCCTACCTGATTTTCCTGTTAGCATGACAGGAATCAAGAGTGTCATGAAATCTAATGATATGAACCTCTACTCTCCACTTTTAAATGTTTTTCACTAGGGCTGAGCAGACAAAACTTTGAGGTATGGAAAAGTCAAACTAAAACCATAAAGTACCATTTACACCACAGAGCTATAAAAACTGCCAGATATATAGAGAGAATGCTTTCCACACTCCCATGCAAATACATCTGCCTTAGAGAGAGGAGAGCTGGCTAGACATATTGCCACTGTGTATTTGATGTGGCTCATCCGATGTTCTCCAGGGATCAGGCAGCTGCTGGCTTGTGTGTTGGTGCTGACCTAGCACATCCATTTCTTGCTCTGACTGTAACCACTGAGAAGCCCCAGCATATTAACAATTCTACCAGTTCATTAGGCATTTGCCAGTTAAACACATTATCTTATGGAGCCTCACAGCCCCATCAGGTAAGAACTCTTGCCTCTGTTGTACAGATGAGGAAAAGGGTTTTGAGAGACTCAGTAACTGCCTGGCCAGTCCTCTCACAGCAAAGCTGGGATCCAACTCTGGATTTAGCCCCTTCACTAGACACAGGATCCAACCTCCTTGGCAAGAGGCAGCTTCTGGGAGTGCGAGGCTTTAACCTACCTTCTTACAACTCTTTTTAATACCTGAAATAATGAAGCTGCATTGACAATTAAGTTAGCTATTAATACAACAATCCAATTGCACCATCTTGTTCCACTTAATAGTAGGGTTTCTAAACTTGACACTATTGACATTTGGGACCTACTGATTATTTGTTATGAGGGGATGTCCTATTTATTCATCATAGGGTATTCAACAGCATCCTTGGCCTCTATCCATAGATGCCAAAAGCACCCTGCCTCCCTCCCTCTTGTAACCACCAAAATATTTCCACAAACTCCCAATGCCTCATAGGTAGAGGAATATAAAATCACTTTGGTTGAGAACCTCCACTCTGTAGCTACCATTGATCAAGTGCTTAGGAGAAGAGTTTAGGTTTTGTAAATAAACTGCAAAGTTGAGCCCTTGGAGTACTTACTGTGTGGTTTTGTCTGTGCCTCAGTTTCTTCATCTGTAGAATGATTTAAAGCTTTGAACTTGGGGTAAGAATTTAAAAAGATTAATAAACATAGAAGAGTTAACATGGCAGGCGCTCAGTATTAACACTTATTCCCAGGAATACTTTTGGATGGAAAACATGTCACCATATACACATATGCTGGCCATAGACATTTTCTCTCTGTATAATCTTTTATATATTCTTAAAATATGAGAACAAATTCTGTCTGACCACTTGCATGGCCCCTCTGCACAACCTATAATTATGACTGTCCTCATTTTAGACATGTGGGTCACAGAAGTCCAGAGTAGCTTAGTGACTTCCTCAAGGACATGCAAAACCTTGGCAACTGAGCTGGCTTGGGGACCCCGGTGCCACCAATGTTTGCCTCATTTTGTAGAATGGAAGTGAAATTCTCAGGCCTTTCAAGGGAGCCAGAGGCTAAGTGAAAACCGTCTAATTATATATCTAAAAAAAAA